GCCGCCATGTGATTGGCTGCTTAGAAATTAAGTGTTAACGAGCAGTTGGACAGGTGTACCTAATAAAGTGGCCGGTGAGTGTATATATATATATATATGTATATGTAAGCCTGGGTATCCCCTAGTTGCTCATAGAAATATTTTCAGACATAATTAGATACTTTTATTAGGTTTTGCATTTGGATGTACATTTAGACATTATCAAAGACTACTTAATTGTGGCTGAAATGTTTGAAAAAAAAGAAAGAAAAAAAATCTCATTTATTTCCTATGGTGGTCATTTCTGACCACAAAGATCTCAAGTGAGACTATTTTTGTTTGTGTTTATATTTTATATATCTAGTGTTACAAAAGTAACCAAGAATTATACCATTCTGATGAAGTAAAAACATTTTTTTTTTATTCTAAATGTAAATTTTTTGGGGGCGGGGCTAAAATAACCAAAAGCCGCGTTTCCACCGCAATTACCAGGAACTATTTGTCCCAGGAACTTTTTTCATAGGAACTTTTTTGCCCCAGACCGGTTGCTCACTGCGTTTACACCGTGGACTAAAGTACCGGGAAGATCTGGTGACGTTGAACTGCGTGCGACTGCTCCTCCCAGTCTGCGCGTACTGTTTTGAGTTTTAAGTATTGAGGAGATTCGAGCTGTGCTGCTTTTGTGTGCGATCTATTGGTTTACTAACGAGGTCATTAACAAAACGGCAGAAAAGAGACGAACACTAATACCAAAGCGTATTCAGAAAGCTCGTAATGCTAGATATAACGTTTGTTATCAGCTATAGCGGACATTGACCATGAGATGGATGGGACGAACGCGCTCCATCCGGCAGAGAGAACAAGGTAAGAACCAATCAGCATGTTCAGCGCACAAGTCCCACCCCGAAAGTTCCTGAACTCTGAAAAAGTACTACCTCGCCAGCAGGGACTTTCTGGGGGGGGGATTTTTTTTTTTTTTTGAAAGTTCCTGCGGTGGAAACGCGGCTAAAGACCGCCAGAGGGTTAAGGAAGTGTGTCCAATGGTCATTCACAGGTAACTCATATTGTTGGCATACCTGCTCTGTCTCCACAAAGTTGGCCACCTGGCCGTCGTCATTTGTGCCTCGGACATTGAAACGTGTGCCTGCTCTCTCCGAGCTGAGCCGTGAGATCACGCAAGCTTTGGCCTGTTTGTGCCCAGCGTAGATGGTGCGGATCTCCACACCGCCACACATCAACCTCAGCAGCCAGTCATCACAGTTCACCCCATAATGCTTGAGATGGAGATGGAGGGACTGATTCCTGTGAAGATTACTTTTCCATTATAACCATTTTTTGTCTACTGATTGAGTTCAACAGTCCAAAAAACTGGAAATATTTTGCACACTTGAAACACTAAAAATAAATGTTTGGAAAAATATATATTTATATTAGATGAAAAAAATATTTCACAACGAAATCAAAAGGACCTTTGAGGTTACAATCTGAAAAATACCCACCAGAAAAAACGATTGTCAGATATGTCTTCTCTGATCCTGCGGTGTGCGTTCAAGCTGAGGTCTAGACTTACTCCAGTGGAGGACCAGGCAAAATAGAAGTTCCCAGAGTTTAAGATTTTCCTGACATCAGCGATCCGGTCCTCATCTGAGGGGTCATTCTTCAGAGAGACGAAGTCTGTGCCCGTTACCCGAAAAACTTCTGAATCCTGGACTTTCCCAACTGAACTGCAGCCTGTTGCGACCACCAGGCTGTGCAGCATAGAATCTCCTATGGGAGAAGAGTGAAGCGGATTCAGAGTTCAGTTCGTGAAGAATCAGACACATATGTATCATCCACTTAGTTGAATACTGGGGTGGATGAGTCTCAATGTCTATGTTGTATTCTATAAGAAATCTTTCAATAAATATTTCTTAGAACTTAAGAGATGACAGTGAAATATATTACACTTGCAAACTCTTGACCTTGTAGTTACACTGTAATTAGTGACTATATTTGTATAAAAACTGCTTGATAATATCTTGTGCATTTTCCTTCCATAAATCTTGGTTTTGCAGTGAATTTTAGTGTTTTGGTGAGATTTACACTTAATCTGGCGACAGGGCGGATTTGTATTTGTTGTGATGACAAACACAACGGAGAGAAAAAAAAAAAAGAAAGAAAAAAGAGGCTGAGAAACTGTACCAAGGTTAAGACGAAGAACTCCCAGTATTCCATAAGCATCCAGCATCTTGGTGTACGCCGCTTTGATGGTCTCTTTCTCTGCCGCGGCTGTGGAAGACATCAAAACCTTTACTTAAAAAACCACATGTCATATTTGCAGATGATAATGGTTATCATAATGGATAATGCAAATAGACAATATTTAAGGCATTTTTTCTCTTGCATCTAGGAAATTCTTGGAATCAATGGAAATCACAGGGTTAACATGTTTAGATTTAAAATAAATAAAAAGTAAGTATTCTAAAGGGTGTGAGGACAGTCTTACACAGTACAGCCACAGCTCCAGACTCAAACATCAGGCATTCCTCTCGATTTCTGGTCTCCACGATCACACTGTATGGAGGTGGATCCAGCTTATGATAAATACGATAACCTTTACTGAATGCCATGGCTCGACACAACCTGTTTCAGTCCTGAATAAGAAAAAAATATATACATTTCCTTTGAAAACATACCATGAAGAAAACACCGCAGGGGTCTGGTAAACATTCGAACCCTCAAACCGCCTGCAGGTGCATCAAATGTCGCATCATGCAACCACGAAAACACACAATTCAAAGTGTTTTATGACTGCATCCTGTCATAAATCATTAAAATAAGAGGAAGGAAATAAACTGAGAGGACTGCACAGTTCGTGCTTTCGATATTCTTCTTGCTAAAACACACAAGCTTGCTATAAAGATCATGCATTTTCAGCGCATTATAGGAAAGAAAAACAACAACACGACACTAACAAAAACATGTTAGTTATGCTGTCAACACGACAGCAAGGGATGTAACATGAACACAAATCCCCTCAAAGCCGAGGCAACGAGCTAAAATGTCCGACTCAAATGAAACAAACCATGCAGAAACAGAGGATGACAGGTGCTCATCATAATGCCACGCCACATACAATCAGATTTGCAACATAAATCTACGAACATGTTTACAATTCCTGCACATACAGACTATCTAACCTTGGGCCACTGTCTCAGTATGTAGCTGAAGGTTAGTGCACAAAATATTAATAATCATCCGTATGATAACTAGACTGAAGAAGATCAGTTCCCGCCGGCCCTGGGTCTGTCGAAATCAACAGTTAAGACAGAGTGACAGCGCTAAAAGCCTTTATCACGACCAGCCCTAACGGCTAACGTTAGCCGGCTAAGTTAGCTCTCCATCGCGTTTTTTAAACCATATAAACTGACATTTTACTGATCACAGCGCGGTAATGTGTCTGTTTCTACGTTAAATCTACAGATTTAATATGTCAGTATTTATTATGCATTTATGAGGATGCTTGATAAAAAAAAAGGTTTGTGTACCTGTCAGAGTTGTGTCTGTCTTCCCCCGGTTGGTGGTGATAGTATACGGCTAGAAACAAAATGATTAGCGGGGCAGGTACTAGTTCAAGCACAGAAATACAACTGCAACCTAGAAAGGACAACTGCACTGTACGCCCCAAACCGTTTCCGGGGCCTCAAACTGACCGCTGATTGGTCACATTTGTGTCATGTGATGTAGGAAACGGCATAGGGTGCCTCCTTCGAAGGCTGCAGCCTCTGAATTGGAACACAGCTAGCATCCTCATAGATGTATAATAAATACTGACATATTACATCTATACCTTTAGCGTACAAATGAACACATTACTGCGCTGTGATCAGTAAAATGTTATACATATATAAATATATGATACACACACAGTGTATGTATACAAAAATATGTAAACAGTTTGTTAGCTCTTTTGTTACCAAAGTTGGATAAAGACTAATATATCCAGTTGCATAGAAAGGGATTGCTTCTCGAAAGTGAAAAAACCAAACAAATCATTTTAAAAATAAACCTCCAAGTTTATAAGAAATCGTTTATTTAGCTTCTATTTGTTTTATTTCTTATTTTATACATTTTCTTTTAGTCGTATGTTATGTTTGGTTATGGATGAACCCATTGCTTTACAAATTACAACCCATAGTTTGTATACAATTGTCGAATAAAAATACTACAATAAGATTTGTCGTTATAACGTATATTTTTACTTTGCATAAATACTTATCTTGAGTAAAAACAGAGGTAGTGATTTTCATTCTTCGGTCATTATGAGCCTTGAGGCGCCCTCTTCAGATTAAAACTAATTAAAGCATTTATTTTAAAAAAATCCACGTCCAGTTTTATTCCTTTTACTGTCTATGGTTTTATTAGGTCAGTCATGAAGACCCCTCCCATTACGTACGTACGCCTACTCAATGTTATTACACTTACAAAATGGGAATACAAATTACTATAATGCTATAATACTATAAAGTGGTTCTTCCAAAAAAAAACCTTAACATAATGTAAAAAAAATATTATTATTTTTTTGTTGCTTTATTTTGTTTTAAAAAACTATCTGGACGACTGGGACACAAACAATGCTTGTGCATGAGCGATACTCATACGAATGCCTAAGGTTTGTAATAACACAACAAATAGGCATATGTAAATCTGTGAAAATATCAAGATCCTGCTGAATAAATAAAGCAAAAACACAAATAAGTGAATTTATTATCATACAAAAGCATTACAAAAGCATTCAGAAAATATTATATAAAAAGCTATTTTAGTTCCAGCAGTTGTTAGTTCGCTTTAAATTGTAATATACCAAAAGGTGCTAAACAAAAATGCACATTTAAAGGGTCCAAAATTCCGTTTTAACCCCTCGCATTTTCACGACTCTTCCCGCCCATTGGGGGTGATTGGCAGCTTCACCAACCAATAACAATGACTTGGATTTCAACTGACCAATCAAAATCTCAAGGGCAGGAAACCGGCGTTTTATGTTTCATAAACAAAACAGAGAACATTGTATAACTGTCAGTGTCACAACGCTTGCAAAGTCTCAGAGGAAGAGAGGAACTTCTGTTGCATTTATATCAATGAAGATATACGTCCTAAATCTGTTTGCGTTGTTCGTAAGTAAACTAACGTTGTTCGACTGGTGACAGTCCAAGATGTTCAGCAGTTGACAGTTTTATTTGAGCTGTCATGATGCTAGAGGTTGATGGTTAACCAGTTTAAGAGGTTTAACCAATTATGTTGGGCTACAATTAGTCTGATCATGTGGACTGATGATTGTCTGTGTTCATCTTGGCTTTGCAGCACACATCCTCGACACTATGAAGAGACTGTACTTCATCGAGCCGATCGTCGCGATTTTCGCGTTTGCCAGTTTTATGCTGTATCCTCTCGTACAGCAGTACGTGTATCGCAGACTGTGGCTGGAGATCACAAACTCATCTTACCCAGTGTCCAACGACACTTCCCGATGCGCCGCCAACAGCAGCAACCACACCAGCCAGCAAGAGGTAACGTTAACGTTAAGTAGAATTACACTTGTCGCAAGAACATCTGACAAAATTATTAAGATATTTGGATCTTAAGCCACACTTATAAATGAATGTCATTGCATTATATAGCAACATTTTAAATCAAGAGTTGCTAGAGCTTTTCTCATAACTATTATGGTAACACTTCATTGTAATGTGTCCTTGTTACATATGTTACATAGTAATAATAACTATAATGTAGGCATAATTACATGCAACTAGAAACCCTGGCCCCTAACCCTATAGTAAGTACATGTAGTTAATTATTATTACTCAGTTCTTATAATTACACTGCAACAGGGACCCATTAAAAATAAATTTTAACAGATTTTTTTTTTTTTTTTTTTTTTTTTTTTTAGTTAGAATTGACAATACATAAATTCCCCTCAGGTCACACAGGTGTCTGGAGCAACCACAGGTTCGCCGCATTATCTGAATTGGTGTTGTCATGTAATTTTATTCAAAAAAATTAAAGATAAAATAAATATAAATATGGGTTATATATTTATAATATGTATATATTTATAATATTTATATAATAAATAAATAAATATAAATTCGTTTTTTGGGGGTTATTTAGGCTCACTTATTTTAGGCAGTATTGGGTAAGTTACTCTGAAAAAGTAATTAATTAATTAATAGCTACTAAGATGTACCAATTACCTTCTAGTATTTCTAGTATTCTCGAAATTCGCAAGTATTCTAGTATTAGCAAATAAAGTATTGCATTAATTATTAGTAATTACTTTCTAAATCCCATATCAACCTAAATCAGTTTAACAATACAAGGATAGACACAAACTACTCTTTAAATTATTTTAAATAAATAATATAAAATTGCATAAATTATTTTTGAACTGACCAAAGTATTTAAAGGGGGAAAGTTACATTAAAAACATACATTTTAACATTAGACATCCACTATAGTTTTATGTAGAATTATTTTATATAGTCTATACAGTATTTAATGCATTTACATCAGAAGTTACATGTAATAAATGACAGAAAAATGAAGAGTAATCCCTCACTTTACTGTCACAATCACAAGCGGAAGCAATGATGCAAGTAATCTCTTTATTGAGAGGTTGAAAAGATAAATGTCCAAGCAACACGGGTGGGCTGGTGGCGCAGGGACTAGATGGTCAGCGTGCAGGTGAAGAGTGCTGGTCGTGAATCCAAGTGCAGGTGAACATCCAAACGAGACGAAACCGAGAAGACACTGAACAGGAACTCGAACCGGACCAGGACTGCAGACAGGACACGCGAGGAACAAACATTGTGAACACCAAACAACGATCTGACAAAGAGAGGAGAGTGTGATGAGTATAAATAGGAGAGATGATTTGCAGCAGCTGGTGCAGAGACTGAGATCAGCTGGTACGCTGATCAGCGGAACGAGCGGTAACGCCCACTCACACACGCTCACACACACATAACAACAATTACACGAGACATGAAGAAAACAGCGAATTCATGAACCGTGACAGTACCCCCCCTCCTAGGAACGCCTCCTGGCGTCCCCAGACTCCCTTACCTGTCGATTGTAATCATCAATAAGGGAGTGATCCAGGATGTCTCTAGCAGGCACCCAACTTCTCTCCTCCGGACCGTAACCTTCCCAGTCCACCAAGTACTGGATTCCGCGTCCCCTCCGCCTTGAGTCCAGAATACGATTAACCAAATATGTTGGTTCCCCTTCTACGAGTCGCGGCGGTGGGGGAACCGGGGCAGGCGGATTAATGCGAGAGTGAAAAACGGGTTTAATTTTGGATACATGAAAAACGGGATGAATTCTCCTGTACACTGGAGGAAGATTGAGGCGGACTGCCACCGGACTAATGATCTTGGTGACAGTGAACGGGCCAATGAATTTGGGAGCAAGCTTATTAGAAACGGAGCGGAGAGGAATGTTCTTGGTAGAAAGCCACACTTTGGAACCGACGACGTATACGGGAGGTCTAGACCGGTGGCGATCGGCCTTGGCCTTGGTGCGCGCTCCCATTTGGAGTAGAGTCTCACGGGCTCTAGTCCAAGTGCGATGACACCTCTGGACGAAAGCGTGAGCGGAGGGAACCGCGACTTCGGATTCCAGACTAGGAAAAATTGGTGGCTGGTAACCTAAACTACACTCAAACGGAGATAGGCCCGTAGATGACACTGGTAACGAATTGTGGGCGTACTCCACCATTGACAGTTGTTGGCTCCATGAGGAAGGATTCTTGGAGACCAGACATCGCAACGTTCTCTCCAAATCCTGGTTGGCTCTCTCAGTTTGGCCATTGCTCTGGGGATGAAACCCTGAGGACAGACTAACAGTCGCACCCAGTAATTTACAAAACTCTTGCCAAAATTTGGACACAAATTGGGGTCCTCTGTCCGAAACCACGTCCATCGGGAGGCCATGTAACCGAAAGACGTGGTTAACGACTGTTAACGCTGTCTCCTTGGCTGAGGGTAATTTGGGCAAGGGAATAAAGTGGGCCGCCTTCGAGAACCGGTCCACCACGGTCAAAACTACCGTGTTACCCTGAGAGGGTGGGAGGGCGGTGACAAAATCTAGAGCGATATGGGACCAGGGCATAAATCTCTCTTTGGACGCGGTCAGCCAGCCCATGCAGGAACATGTCCCACTGCGCCTCCTCGTTCCATTGACACTCAGCCGCCAACGTCCGGAACTCGATGGAGTAATCAGATACAGATCTTTCGCCTTGCTTGAGGTCTGCGAGAATCCGAGCCGCTTCTCTTCCTGCGACCGCACGGTCAAAAACCTTCTTCATCTCGGCGGCGAGTGTCTGGAACGAGGCGCAGCACGGATCTTGGTTGTCCCACACCGCCGTCCCCCATAGTGCTGCCCTCCCAGTCAGTAGCGTGAGCACAAATGCGACCTTGCTTCGTTCGTTAGCGAAGGTCCTGGGCTGTAGAGAAAAGTGCATCGAACAGCGTGTTAGAAATGCTCTGCAAAAATTCGGCTCACCGTTGTAAGGCTCAGGAACAGGTAGGCGGGGCTCTGACTGGGAGACGCTCTCTGGTGGTACGGGGGGAGCAGACGGTGTGGGTGGCGCAGTGGGAGCTCGCATAAGTTGGAATTGCTGGGTGAGCTCGGACACCTGCGCCACAAGAGCTTGAATAGCCCGACCCGACTCACTCATGTGCCTCTCCTGGGAATCCATCCGTGCAATGCTGGTCTTGACGAATTCCTCTAAGGAAGAGGAGGCTTCACTTGCTGCTTCCATTCTTGGTCAGATCGTTCTGTCACAATCACAAGCGGAAGCAATGATGCAAGTAATCTCTTTATTGAGAGGTTGAAAAGATAAATGTCCAAGCAACACGGGTGGGCTGGTGGCGCAGGGACTAGATGGTCAGCGTGCAGGTGAAGAGTGCTGGTCGTGAATCCAAGTGCAGGTGAACATCCAAACGAGACGAAACCGAGAAGACACTGAACAGGAACTCGAACCGGACCAGGACTGCAGACAGGACACGCGAGGAACAAACACTGTGAACACCAAACAACGATCTGACAAAGAGAGGAGAGTGTGATGAGTATAAATAGGAGAGATGATTTGCAGCAGCTGGTGCAGAGACTGAGATCAGCTGGTACGCTGATCAGCGGAACGAGCGGTAACGCCCACTCACACACGCTCACACACACATAACAACAATTACACGAGACATGAAGAAAACAGCGAATTCATGAACCGTGACATTTACTTTTTCAAGGGAAAAGTAATTTAATTACAGTAACTGTAATAATATTAGTAATGCATTATAACCAACTCTGATTTTGGGCTTGTTTTGTCAGGCTCGATTAATCTTTTCTTGTGAAATGTATATCTTGAAAAATAAGCTATCTTTCTTTTAAATAATGCCTCTTGATTTGGTATTATCTGATTGTTATTGTTTTTATCCATTGTTATCCTATGACATTCATGGGACCAAAAATACAATTTGGTTAAAATAAATGTTAATTTAAATTCCTTATCTTTTGTGTTTAAATGTTTTTATTTGGTGTTTTAGCAGACGATCATTTGTAATTACTTAAAAAAAAATGTTTTAATGCAAACAAATAACACACATTCTAACAAATATGCATGAAAAAAAAGACAAAGTAATAATACATGAAAAAGTAATAATAATTGAACAGAAAATTTAAATAAATTAGGGGGGTGTCTACTAACCAGACAGAAGACACATCCAACCCCCACCCAAAACTCAACCTAAAAGTGCTATAGCAGGAAATGAGGGCACGATAAACATATTAATCACAAGCTTGCAGAAAATAAATAAAACAGGACCAAACTTTTTCAAACAACAAAATCTTGTTCTTCTTGAACAGCAAAATCTTGTACTTCTTGTTCTTCTACCTAATTCTTTCTAAGTGTAGTGTACCAGTCAACTCTGTCAGCCATATTTTAAGAGTTGGAACTTCCTTCTTCTTCCAAAATAAAATAATACGTTTTTTTGGCAGAGATTAACCCATATGAAACAAACTGTTGTTGTTCCAATGTAAGTCTCAAAAAATCTTCAGAAATTCAAAATAATAATTAATATAGGATCTAGTTCAAAATGCATGTCCAAACTCAAAGCATCTACAAATGTACATTTGTCACATAATGACACTTCTGGAAATATTTTAATCAATTTACACGTGGAATAATGAAGCCCATGACCCACTTTAAACTGAATAAGTAAATGTCTTGCATCAATGGAACACCTGTGGACAAGTTCAAGAACAAAAAGCCATTCGGTTCATTGCTGAACATTCTGAATCTTGACTGTTGTCCATGGCAACACTGTTTAACAGACCGGAAAACATCCGGGAACAGTTTAATTTCTCTTGTCATAGAAAGACAGAACCCTAATAAGTTAGTGAATACCTAAATAAGAAGTTAACTAATAACTCAAATCAATATTTCATGTCCATTATCGCAAAATAAAAAAGTCTTGATCACCCTGTCAGGGTTAATTTTAGTATATCCCTTATACTATATAGTGTACTGTGACTGTGAGTAACACGTGTTATTGTTTTAAAGAACCGTCTGTTGTAGTATAGTTTTGGTCATTGATACCTAAGCACACACATCTGCGTTTCATTTCCTCTTTCTTTTTTTTTTTTTATAGCTGTTTTATTGCATCAGACGTCATAAGATACATAAGCAGCAACAGAGTTTTGTATGGACATCGGTTTTATTAATTTTGCTCTTCTTCTTTTTTTCAGGAGGTGCAGAAAGCAGCTTCTCTGTTCTCTATGTTCAGTGAATTGTCTTCGTTGATCCCCAGTCTCATAGTGACCCTCCTCCTGGTGGCCTACAGTGATCAGCGTGGGCGAAGGATCACCATTATTATGCCCCTCTTTGGGTCTCTGATCTACACGCTTTCATTCCTGGCCGTCTCCTTCTTCGAGCTAAACCTCTATCTCCTCATTGCCGCTTCTTTTGTAAGTGCCCTCTTTGGTGGTATCAGCACCATGCTAGGCGGCTGCTTCGCCTACGTGGCCGATTTATGCGTGGACGACAAGCAGAAAACCATTCGCATGGCGGTGGTGGACATGATGATTGGCTTGTTGGCGGGTGTGGCGTCAATTTCCACTGGGTACTTCCTGCATGCGACCGGTTTCAACTGGCCTTTCTTTACGTCAGCCATATTTCAGGTGGTTAACTTGCTATACGCTATCTTCCTTCTGGAGGAAACCAGGGTGATTGACAGTTCAGAGACTCTGGCTTGTTGCCAGGCCCTGAAGAAACTAGCATGTGGTATCTACTACTTGTTTTCAGGAGAAAGTACTCGAAAAAAATGGGTTCTTGTGCTGCTGATTGTTACATTTTCCTCCTTATCTTTTGTCAATACCGGGGGTTTGTCCATGATCACACTTTATGAACTCAATAAGCCGCTGTGCTGGAGCGAGATCCTCGTGGGCTATGGCTCTGCGGCCAGCACCTCCATTTTCATCACTAGTTTTCTTGGCTTGTACTTGTTCTCCCTCTGCCTGCCTAACACAGCCATCGTCCTCATCGGGATGCTGTCAATCGTTATAAGCATGTTGATGACGGCTTTCGCAAAGACTACGCTTATGATGTTCCTCGGTGAGCATGCACGTTTACACTCAAATGTTTTTGGGGTATCTTATAAAATTAATTGATTATGGCAAGTATAATATATATATATATATATAAATTATATATATATATATATATATAAAATGTGTGTGTAATATATAGTAGTCAACATTTGAAGTGGATCAAAAAAGTTAATTTAAACAAAGTTGTCCTAAACCAAGAACGGGTATTGTTCAAAATTCATGTATAACTTTAATGAAAGGTTTTGATCCACTTCAAATGTTGACTACTGTATATATATATATATATATATATATATATATATATAAATTGATTTGATAGCACTAATATATATACTGTATATGTATGTGTGCATATTCCTTTCCCATTATCAATTTGAAAAGCACTAATAATTACTAAATAAAATAGCACAAATAATTTAGTAAGTAAGTGAATATCCATTTTTCGTGTTCTACATGAAAATGCTATGATGCCTAATTTCACTTAAAACAATTGACTTTAGTTTTTAGTGTTTTTGTTTTTTTTAGACAAAATAGTTTAACATTTTAATATCTATTTTATTTATCGGACTTTTAATATTGCTACATCCCAATTTTTTTAGAGCCTTGTATTATTGTTTAAAGTAAGGTTAACAAGCATTTAGAGCCGAGAAGGACTAAACCTTCAACAATGAATAAATCACATAATTACAATTTTAAAGTCAAATCAATTATTTTATATGTGTGTCCTATCTCACAGCTCAATTTTGCTCTTAATATACTGACTGTAAAAGTGGTATATGGTGCGCTGTATATGTGATATTATGGTGAGGATTTATAAAATTAATTAAGAGCAAACAGCAGCTGTTCCTGGATCACAGTCACCTCACATATCTTATCACATTTAATGCAATTATTATATGTACAGTAATACTAAAGTTTGCTCAATTAACTTCTTGAGATAACTGTCTGAACACAATTACACTGGTAACTGTACTAAAGTGTTAATTAATTTCATTATCAAATATTATTAGTGATCTGTTCTATATGTTTGACAACTTTTTTTTTTTTTTGGTAAATTAACTACACATATTAACCCAATATGAAGTAAAAGTCAATGTGAGCTGTACATTTGTAGCCATCTAAAACTAGGTGATAAATTCAGTAATTTTGGAGGCCTCGTTTGTTTAGTTCATGTGAGTATTGATGTGTTTGCTTACAGTAAGGATTCCTGCTATGTTTGCCATCATGCCGTTCCCCATCATGCGTTCGATGATGTCAAAGGTCGTCTCAAAGTTCGAGCAGGGTGAGTGGCTCTCTGAAAATCACTGTTCCAAAGCAAAACTCCTCATTCAGCTTATTCATGCTGCTCATAAGAGCTCTTCTCTGCTCAAGAGATGTGTTTTTGTGTGACTATGCACCGCAAAGGCATTTCAAAGGCAAGTGGTGTTAAATTTAAGAAGCCTTATGTGAATTGCAAATTAATAGTTTTGTTTGCACTTTTACCCTGTATGCATTCTTCCTTTGAAAAGACAATCATGTATTTTCCTTGTTTACCCTTTCAGGAGCGCTCTTTGCCTGTGTGGCTTTTATGGAAAACCTGAGCAGCAACGTGTCCTCTGCGGTTTTTAGCAAAATCTATGCGGACACTGTATCATGGTGTCCCGGCTTTGTCTTCATATTGGGTGCTGGACTCAGTCTCATTCCCATAAGCCTACTGGGGTAAGAGCTGCTCTGAAACATAACCAGTTACTGATCTTTATAGAACCGTGCACTTTAAAATGAGTGCTGATTATATAGCACTTTGGGTATGAGAAAAGCGTGTTATTAATACATGTTATTAATATTATTATATCAAATTAAAGCATTTTAGAGAGGCTTCATAAATAGGAATAAAATGTATGTTGTGTAATGTCTTTTTTTTTTTTTTTAAGATACAGAGATTACTTGGTTATCCTGTTACTGGCAGATGCCAGATCTTCTTTAGACACTTATCACTATGTTTGTAAAAAATCTGGTAACTTTTTAGTACCGATATAAAAATTCTACCCAATACCAATAAGCAAATAATTATTTTCACTTTAGGGCTGATACATGTCTGATATTAAAACTCTACGCTTTTATGTAATTCTATAATTTTATCGAAATAAATTAAATATAAAACACTAAAACTAAACTCAATCCATTTTAAAGTGCCACTATTATGCTGTTTCGAATATGACCTTTCTTGCATAGTATAATATAGCTGTTTGTGAATGTAAAGTGTCTGTATGTAAAGCTTTGTAGCTGAGGCCTGGAAGAGTTTGGTTTTTGTGTTTTCATCATGTAGATAAGGCACTGTTTTCTGCGGTGCAAATTCATTTTCACTTCCAAAGAATGATGACTTGCACTGGAATTGATATGGAAAATCTGACGCAATCATTCGTAACACTGTGTATCAAGCACTGATGAAGCCTCCGGAGCTGAAATTCAGATATGGTAAATTGGTAATAGGCATTTTGGTTCCGACACGCAACAACAGACTGGGCCGTCTGACCATCAGAGCAGGTTTGCGGGAAAGGAGGGGTTTAGAGAGAAATCGTTTTCAGACTCTTTGAGAAATGAGGTGATATGCAATGCATATTGTGAGAAAATTACTGTGTTATTTGACCTGTAAACCTAAGGTAGGAGACCTCCAAAACAAAATTAGGAACCTTTAAAATAGCAAAATAGGGGCACTTTAAATGCTACAAGTGATATAGGCATCACATTATATACAATTTGAAAAAGGATTTTGAGATTTGCTAAAGATTACATTTGACATTGTTATTAAATTATAAGTGTTTGTTACCTTTATGTTATTGTTAGATAGCGGCAAGGATAATCTAAACATAAAAATATAGGAAATTGGCATAAACAGTTAAATATCCAATACCAGCCGATACCAATACATAAAAAATTAGTACTTCTATACTGTCCATTCCTACTTTTTTTTGTAATATGACTGACTACCACAATGTCTTTCTGATTTAAATTATGCTCAGTTTTGCTTCGTATGATATGATTTTAGGTCAGGAAAACACCTTGTTGGACCCGTAGGTCTTAGAAATGGTTTATTCTTAACCTTAAGCATGGTTCTGTACTTCTGTGAACATAGGCTATAGTTCCTCATTTACATTTCCTCTTTTCCATTTTGCATCTGCTGCTTGTATTTGTTAGACACGAGGGTGTTTAGTTAACAATGCTGATTCATTCTGACTCTGTGTCTCACTCTAGCATCCTTAGGTTTTTCCATCCATTGGATTCTAATGACACTCAAGCACTCTTATCAGAAGATGGGACAGAAGCTTCAGACGACCCACCTGTTGCTTAAATCCAAAGGGAGTTCAAATACCTCAGTCATTCACCTCGAATCCCCTGTGTGTCTATTTACTTTCCTCATACCGACACAGGGAGATAAACTAAGAACTGGATACTACTGAGCACATGTGCAACAGAGCCAAAAGTCTGTTATTAGTATTTTCAGTCACTGCCATAAATGTTTTTTTTCTGAAATGCAGTATATGATAATAGTGGTTTTAGGGAAGACCACAAAAGAAGGGAACATAACTTTATATTTCTAAAAGGTAATATATTTTATAATAATAATAATTTCAGCAAAAACTAGGTTTGCATTTCTTAAAGGAAATATTAGTAGCTTGCAAGGCTGCAACAAAATAGGATTAAAGTTTAAGGTACGGTAAGTTGAGCTTTAAGGCTTTGGTTCTGTGTCGTCCGCAAACAAGAATCAATGCGTATTAACTGTGAAAGGCTTCTATAAATGTTTAAATCTATGCAATGAAGACAAGACCAATCACAATTCAGTATGCAAATAGATGTAAGAAAGAAGACCAGTCAAATTTATTATGCAAATATAACAATGAAATCATCACTTGCAATTTTCTTTAAAGAAATGTACGATTAAATATTGAAAATCAAGGTTATTCTGAATTCATTAGTTGTATGTACTGAATTATTTGCAGAAGTGTATTACTTGGAGATTTAATGTTTAAGAAATATCAGTACATTGCTGCCTTACAAGTACAGTAATTATCTAAAGTTTGGACTGATGTGCAATACATTCTTGTTCTGTTTAGAGCAAAAGATTTATACATTTTATAAGACACAATTTAGGATTTTTTATTTTTTTTAAAGTTATCTCTGTGTGTTTTAAGTGTTGGAGGTTTTCAATAGTCTCATATTTGCACAGATCTGAGTCGTGAGCGATTCAATCAATTAGCTCTGATCTACCATTAATCTTTTATGAGCCCGTTGTCCTGTGTGGTGTGGTGTGGTGTGGTGGTAAATTGATGTGTTATAGATAACATTCTATACTCCAAAAAAACATGTAAAATCGATTGGTCTAGATCTGTTTACTTTGTTTGGAGGTTTAGCAGTGGGAAAAAGGGATTTTTGAGGACTGGGTAGATACTTCAGTTGATTTTTGTACGTATTTTTTGTACGTATACCCCATACTTGTGCTCCTACGCACTGAAACCTTGTTCAGCACATGCGCAATAGGAAAGCATACTGAATTATTACTACTAAAACAAACCAGTCCACCTCATTTATTTACACAAACATATTCAAACCCGAATAAGTATGGAAACAAAGTTTTTTTTTTAAATGAAATAAAATTGCTATAATTCAAATGGCTTCTGCTTTGAGTTGGTCTGTCAATTTTACAGGCTTTTACAGGCCCACTGATGTGCTATTAGCAACATACTAATGCTTTCCAGGCCTGGATGGAAAAGGTGATAGAAATTATTATTAGTATTTGTTATGATCAGATAATTAATTTGGGAATTTAGTGTCTGTCTGCCAAATTAAATTAAAATAAATTGACTAGAAAAAGCTCTTTAGGAGTCCAATCTTTTAAAAATCCTTAACAATTATCCTGAAATCACGAACTGGAAAAGTAAATTCAATAGGTAGAGGATGTGGGAACCCTGCATGTATACCACTATTGTCTTAATTTAACATTTTTGTTAGATAAATGTTTGTATTATTTTACATTTTCTTTGCGCTTTATCATCGTGTCCTGAAGGTGGCAGTATAGATACATATATAAATACGGCAGACAGAAGGTAGACTATTTCTGATTTCGGAATCTCATCGTAGTCTACTACTCTTACTACTTTTATTTACCTTATCTTTCTATGGCAGAAATAGTAAGAGTAATATGTGATTCAGCCTTTATATGTCTAAGCAAAGTTTGAATGTTTATTGATTGGTTGTTTTAGTTTATATTAAAAAAAAAGACTTTTATTTAGCTTACACTCATGATAGGCTATTTGATTTCTTTGTTGACAAAACATTTTTTAAAGATTAAAAAACTATTAGATTTTTAAACAGTGGAATATATGATGCAATACATTTTTGTTCTGAGAAAAATAAACAGTGTGAATACACAATGGAAATTTGAAGTGCCCAAAAGTGGTGATCAAAAACACAACCTTTCCAAAGAAAAATAATGTGATCCTGTGTATAAATGCAGAAATGACGTCTGTCCTGTCACACCTCCTCGTGGGTTTGATTTCCAAGCCCCCTCGTGATGAGAGGTCATAGATCTGCAGATCTTCGTAATTGTGCAGTCAGAGTGTCTGCCGGGTGAAAGTATGATAAATCTGAAGTGGAGGGGCGGTGGGCTTCTCTGGTTTCCAAACTGAGACTCCACACCGCTGACTCCACATGATCTACCTTACCACAGACTGCCGTCTCCCCCACACCCTCTGTTTATCTCCCTCTCTCATTTCTCTCTTTTAAACTATGTATTTCTCCCCTTTCTTTGCACTCTCACCATCCATATACAGACACGTTTTGTATTATTTCATCTTTATTCAGATGCACACACACATCCCTGATTCACAACCCCCTGAACTTCTTGTGGCTGGCTTAGCCAGATAACATTCGCACCCACACGCCACCCAGGGATGAAAAGCATCCACGCTCCTAACAAACAGTTGGACCCTTCCCTTAACGGACACATCTGGGGCTTGTTGGACACAGATGTTTCTGCAGGCCCACGCCCCACAACAGGGGTTAGAGGCACATGCTTGTGTCACACAAGGTAATGTGAACACTTTTTGCAAGCACTACAACCTACACTTAAAGGGACAGTTCACCCCAAAATTAAAATTCACCCTCACACTTAACCTCACATTGTTCCAAAACTTGACTTTCTTCTGTGGAACATAAAATAAGATATTTTAAGAAATGTTTTTGTTTCTGTTGTCCTTACAATTGAAATCAATTGTCACCAAAACTGTGGTTACCAACATAAAAAAAAAAAAAAAAAATTCTTCTTTTGTGTTTGACAGACATCATACAGGTTTGGAACCACATGAGATTGAGTAAATGATGACAGAATTTTAATTTTTCCTACAAACTATCCCTTTAAAAGCAGAATTGTGTAATATTTACACCAGTACCGTCACTATCTGAATATGCATACTACTTCCCTATTATATAGCAGGCGAAAAACAGTGTGTGAAAAGAGTAGAATCACAAAAAAAGTACTCTGTGAAAAGTAGCCTACACGGATTACTTACTGCTTCAGGTGAGATTCTGAATTGCACATGGACACTTGATAACACATGAGGCCAAGAGAGGTTTTGTGAAAGGCAGTGAAGCAACACAACTGACACTTTTAAAGTCACATGACAACAGAAGGCAGATGTAAACTGGTACGTTAACACAAGGTGTGTTCGACATCGGCTGCGGCTGGATGTAACTGATCGGCGAGAGTAGCCGCGTGCAGGCGGGGAGGAGCTGCAAACGGAGACGTGAAGTCGGACACTTTCTGGTTCCTGTAGTGACCGCTCACGTGGTGTTTGTATACTCTAGCACAGCTGAAGTGAAATAAATGCAATATTTGCCAAATACACAGATGTTTCAGAGACATTTTCATTCAATACTTTATGTACTGCTTCATACAGCGTTTGTTTGAACAAGAATAAAGTTCAACATAAGCCTACAGCTATCAATGAAGTGGAATCAAAGTTTTTTTAATCAGTTTTATTTTGATAAACATAACACAATACATCGCGACTACATGAAAAGAGTGTTTACTGTTATAAAAAAAACTGATTTGTGAGCTTTAGTGGAACTAAAGGTGTGAGAATAAACAGAATAAACACGAAACGCACGTGATCGTTGTCATGCGGTGAATCCGGCCAATCGTGGAACAGCTGTGTCGTCATCAGAGCTCGTGCAGCCCAAGGGGGTAATCCATCGACCGGAAGTTGAAGCCGGCCGGGTGCCGCCATGTTGTAGCAGAACTTCACTTGCGTTAGCATTCCCATTGAATCCCATTCATTTTGGCGTCACTTTGACAGCGAATAACTTTACATCTGAGGCGTTTAAAGACTCCATTTGTCCATTATTTATTTCTAAAGAAACACGACAATGTATAAAGTGCTCCATTACCTTCTATGTTACATTATGGCCCCGTAGAAACAGATTTAGTAAAAATAAGCTAACGATTGCGTCATAACCACTCGACTCTCTGTCGCGCTGTACAGAAATTACCGTACAGACAGGAGGAGAAGCTCGCAGGCGATCGGGGGCACGTCCCGTCAAGAGAGAAGCCCATAGATAATAAGTCCATAAAAGCAACGGAATACTTACTCCTGCTCACTCACGCCAAAGAACTCTTTGCTCAAGTTCCCCGTCTCTGCAAGATTAACGTTGGCAATTTTCACGCACAGCTACTAGAAGATTCACGTCTGTCAGACAGGTTGCTCACGTCATCAAGCTTAGTTTGAGTCGGTTTGAGTCTGCGCGTCAGGAACGGAAGTGCTCAAAAATCGCTAAAAATGGGCTTCAACTGTCTCAACTGAGTTCCAATGAGATGGCTCTGTCCATTTCTTATACTGTCTATGGTGCAGCCCAGAGCAGCCGCTCTTCAGAAGCTGCGCTGGCTGAGTCCTCCGGCTACTCTCGAATCGCTCTCGCGGTACTTTGATGGCATACGTCACAGTCACGTGGCGTCGGCGCTGTATCAAGTCGGACAAAATTTCTAACCGGCATGCACTGCTTCAAGTCTGCCGCCGATCGGTCTGCGCAGAGCTGCATGAAGTCGAACAAGCCTACAGTCTCATCCCAAGACGTCATCTGTCTGACGCTTTTGACCATACGTCAACATCCGACGTTTTAGGGTACCCTTTAACGTCAGTTGGATGACGATCCTAGGGCGTCATCTGACGCTTTACCTTTAGCGTCAGTTAGATGACGCGGGTAGGTTTAGGTCTGGGGTAGGGTTAGGATTAGATAGCGTCATCTAACTGACGTTAAAGGGTACCCTAAAACGTCGGATGTTGACGTATGGTCAAAAGCGTCAGACAGATGACGTCTTGGGATGAGACTGGGCTGTACGTTCAGATTACATACAGCTACCAGTGACATCAATTTTGTGATTTGCAAAATTTGTTGTTTCAGTATTTGTAAATTATTTTTATTCTTTGCTAAACTGAAAAACAAACATTTCATAAGTTTTAAAGG